AGAGCTCTCCCCCATTCCTGCTCCCAACTTCCTTACGGAGGATTTCGCAGATATGCAGTGCAAATCCGAAGCATCGGCCACTCGCAAACAGATATTAAATATTGCACAACTGCATCAACTTTCACTCCGCATATCTCTGTATTACACTAAAAATCTCATACCAGCCTTATCTCGCTATTGACGTTTCGACTTTGAAGTTGTCAGAAAATACGCCGTTGGCTATACAAAATTCTACCAATTCTTCTTTGACTCCTTGTCAATAGGGCAAATAAGGCTGGGACCTCGAGGCCCGATGCTGCAGAAAACTCTATTTGGCTGGGTGGTAACTGGCCGACTTCAACAGAACGTGCCAATAAAAGCTTCCACTTGCTTGGCTTTAAATGCGATAATGACAATGACGTGTGTAGGAACTGGAATCGGTCGACTCTGTAGAAGCTGGAAGATTCCATTTGCGAGGAATAGTACGAAAAGACCACTCGCCTCGACAGCTCTGGTTGGATTGTCGTCAAACGCCCAATCAATGATGAGCCGATTGTGAGATTCGTTTGATACCGCCTGTCGTCGGGTCCTGAGCATGGAATACTGCAATACTGCGACTTCATGGAGGAGTATGAAAAATTCGGTCATATGTTCCGAATTATTCATCTTAAAATACACGAGCCGCACTACTACATCTTCCATCACAGCGTTCTCAAACCCAGCATTGAGACCAAGCTCAGGGTAGTGTTCGACGCCTTGTGAAGGACATCAAATCAAACGGTTTGCTATGCGTTGGCCCTACACTACAGGAGGATTTTTACCTGCAGCTTCTAAAGTTCAGTCTTCATTGTTATGTCATCACTGCAGAGTGACCAAGATGTACAGGCAAGTAAGTCTTGAGATTGGTGATCGCAAATACCAGTACATCCTTTGGAGAGCGTTTTCAGAAGACACGCTGCACACGTATCAATTGAATACGGCGACCTACGGCACTGCAGCCGCCCCGTTTTTGGCAACACGCAGCCTAAACCAATTCGCCGATGTTCGTTGAGTCGACTGTTAAATGACTCTTCACAGGCCTAGACGACTTAGCTACGCTTCGTCTTCGTCGAGGGCATATCCCACTCACCAAATGGCGTTCGAACTTCGCTTTTTTCATAGAAAAGAAGCTCCGTTCGTGTGGCATGAACTGGAATTAGCGCAAAGATACACTGTTTTTCAAGATAATACCAATCAGCCAGTCAACAAGAATCACCGAAAGAAAAATTTTGTCCATCGCAACCGCTTTGTTCGATCCGCTTGAATTTCTCGCACCGTTGTTGTCGCAAGTATACGTCTTCAAAGGCATCTGAGGATTTTCACGCAGGAGCGAAAGCTCGTCTAGAGTACTGGATCATCAACGACAGGGACCTAGATCGTCGAGTGGGGCGTTCTTGTATCGCCTGCGTTCGATTCAAACCCTAATTGGAGAACCAACTTACTATTAATTCCAACGGACATCTACTGCGACGACGGAACCAACTTCATTGGAGCTGCCAACCATCTTCAAGAACTACGAGAGTTCCTTGAACACAAAGCCACGCAAGAAGTCATTTCATCTCATTTGCCACTTTCGAGGTATTTGGAAAGCGGAACGATTCGACGCCGTGACCGCAAACAAACAACAGTTTTGGCGAAGGTGGTCATTCAACTTCCTATAAGAACTGCGCTCTTGAACAAAATTAACAAGACCATCAGTAAGCATCTAGGCAAACACCATGGTCATCATTCACACCGACAATCTTCCTGCTCAGCGAAGGAAGATTGAGCGCATCGAGACCGTTATTCCCGGAAAGGATCGGTGACCCACTTTCAAACTAGCACTGTTGTATGCTGCCGACCAGTGTATACGCTTGCAGGACTACCCACACCATCTCATTCTCGTTGAAAGATGATCATTTCAAGGTGACCGAGATGTTCGGTCAAATTCTCTTAATTTCGAATCTCCCGGACTGATTCTCTTTGACTCCACAATGTAAACAAAAGCTCGTTAACATGCATTTACCAATCTCTGTTATCAAGTATTTACTGCTGTTAATAGCAGCAGCTTCTGATGTTAGATCTTTAGAAATATTTGACTTCTTGTCTTTGTTTATTAAACTGAAATTTGTTTATGTTATTTATGTTATGTTTATTATTTCCCAACCTTATATTTCATGCATCACAAAAAACGCTTTGTGAATTAAACATACAGAAAGCAAAGCTGTCTGGTGAATTTGAACTTCAAATTTCGGTCCTTGCAAACCGCGGTTTATCAGATGTAGAGAAACATCAAGGAGTGTCTATTAATTCATAATGTTACTCCACACAGCACAACAGGGACCTTCCTTTCTGAATTATTTTTTAGGTGTTAAACCTTAGTAATATTTTCTGATGATACTGCGGTCCTCTCTAAATCCAACTATATCTATGAAATGCCACTGATATGCTCCAGTCGAATCTTAAGAGGTTTGAGAATTGGGTCTGTCGCTGGAATATATCTATTAACTCGGCAAAGTGTGCTGTAGGGACGCACTCCCTCAGAAAGTATTCTTGATCAGAGATGGTGGTCACCTTGGACACCCGGTGTAGCTTCGCCAGGCAGACGACGATAGTTTGACGTTATAGGATAAGGCAAAAGGCTATACTGGCTTCTTAAGGCAAATAAGGTCCGGATATACAAATCCATCCTTGCCCCCATTTGGAGATACAGGATTCAAGTTTATGGTATTATGGCCAAAAGTAATCAGAGTCGCATCCTTCTCTTCCTGGTACTGAGGGGTTCATCCGTAAAAATCACATAGCGTGGGATCTGAAAATTCCTCTGATTGGGGATATTATCAATGAACTAGCCACAAACTATATGAATAAGATTACGACACACCCACATATCATTGCTAGGAGCCATGAATTTTAATTGGCATAAAATATTCTTAATCTAATCTAAGAACTTTAATTTATTATATTTTGTCGCTTTTAGTTTAATTTTATTTGTGGGTCTCTTTTAATTTATTAGAGTAGATTTTCTTTGAGCTGCGTAGCATCGCTAATGTTTTTAATATTATTGGAAAACTGATTATGATTATGATTATGAAAAATTGTTTTTCGGAAGTCAGTGATCTGGGTCTAATGCATATTAGATTGTTTAATTTTCTAAAAGCAGTAAGTGTTAATTTTTCTATTAGATATTGGTTCTTTTTATACATTTATTTTTGAAGGAATGCCAATATTCTCATCTTTATCCATCCATTAAGTTCTTTATACGTCGAAAATTCGATTCTATTAAAAACTATCTTAAATTTATTTTCGAATCACAATTTGAAAAAACTTTTGAATACAAAAATTTATAGGCAGACATTCCTTAGTCACGGACAATGGTCTCAGCTTTCCGTATATTTTTCCTACCGTTTTTGCGATGTAATTATTCCATAAATGAACGTTACAGATGTAAGATTATAAGTATAGAGGTTATTTACCCTCTATGGAACCTTGGAAGACACCACGAGTAACAATTTCCAATTCCAACGACACAGTTGACAGAACAACAGATTGACGACGATTATTTAAATACAAGCTGAGCAGAAGTTTTTGAAAAGTGAAACATATTTCGTAGTTTGAACACAGAATATTAACAAATTTGAGACATAGCCATTTTATATTATTCTTCTATGTTGTGTAAAATATTATGAAAATCATATAGCTGCAATAGAAACGATCGTTAGATATATAGAAAAATAAAAAACTGTGAATGTAAAACTGTAAATATAATATGTATTGGTGAATGAAATGAAAGCAGGCGTTACTTCATTGTTTTTGTTTATAATAAATATATATATTATTTATTTATTTATTGTATAATTTTTAGTGATCGAAGTTCCATCTGCAAAGGTATAAAAATTTCGGCGAGCCGAAGTTAGTTCTTTTTCCCTTGAACACTGCTCTTCAATACGGGAACATGATTTATTGGTTGACATCGCAAAATCCGACCGAACTAAAAACTGAATCCGCTTAAATTAAAATGGAAGATCATTTGGAATTAATGGAATTCGATTAAAAGTAAAAAAATTTCGTCGGATAGTTAGTCGTTTCATTCTCATTGGTCATGCCGTCGACGGATTTTTTTATGAGTTTCTCCTTCGACGACAACAATTTTCAAAAGAAAGAAACGAATGAATTTGCCGAGAACGCCATTAATCCAGTCGAAGCATTCCTGTAGACTAATGAAAATTGGCTTTCATAAAATTATAAACCACTTTCACTTATTCTGACGTCTTTGGAAAAAAATTATTTTTTTTTATTCCAAAAAATTTAGTTTATAGGAGAATTTAACTTTTTTATATTTCTTCCGAGAGATCGACTACGATGAAGTGTTTGGGTGCGATTTAATATTCGGTATTTTTGATATTTATAAATAGTTCACGAATTTTTGTCAAAATAAAAAATGTTTTCGGTATGTATCTGAAGTGTCTATATACTTAGCAGTCGTATGGGATATCTTTGTTTTCAAGCAAAAATCGCATTTCTTTATACCTGATTGTTTATTATAAACTTTTGTGTTTTCAGATTTAAATATAGCATAAAGTTAAAACAATTAGAGTTTCCTTAAATCTTTACTATACCTAATCAAATCTCTTAATTACTTTTATGTTTATGTTTATTTACGTCATTGAAGACTAGCTATATCTATGTATGTATATGTTCATTGATATATATACACTAAAAATAATACGAATGGCAAGCACTCTCGTCATTGTTGTACTTGATATTGTTTATAGCTCATGAAGAATGGATTATCAAAACGTTATTATTTATACAATAGTTAACATAGGGACTCTGGACAAAAAATATACAAATAATCCGAATTTACATGGCAGAAAAAATATTTTTGTAATGTTAAATAAATTCAGGGGTTTATGGAAAAGGTAAATCAGATACCATACAAAGCGCATAATCTCAAATAGTTCTTCTGTTTTTATTGTTTTTTGTAAAATTTTTGTTTTTAGAGCTGTGGCTGCTTACTTACGTGCATTAAATTTGTCTCCGAACAATGCTGTAGTTCATGGAAATTTGGCTTGTGTCTACTATGAACAAGGGCTAATTGACTTAGCTATCGACACGTATAGGCGGGCCATTGATCTACAGCCTAATTTTCCCGATGCCTATTGCAATCTTGCGAATGCTCTTAAAGAAAAAGGACAGGTATGTTTTTTTATAGCCTTGAATGGTATTCTAATTTGTTGTTTGTTATTGTCGATTAAATTTATTTATATTTTCATTAGGTTAAAGAAGCTGAAGATTGCTATAACACTGCACTAAGACTATGTTCTAATCACGCCGATTCTCTAAACAATTTAGCAAACATAAAAAGGGAACAGGGTTATATTGAAGAGGCTACTCGACTTTATCTAAAGGCATTGGAAGTATTTCCTGATTTCGCTGCTGCTCACTCAAACTTGGCATCTGTGTTGCAACAACAAGGAAAATTAAAAGAAGCATTAATGCATTACAAAGAAGCTATTAGAATACAGCCTACATTTGCAGATGCCTATTCAAATATGGGAAATACTCTTAAAGAGTTACAAGATGTCAGTGGGGCCCTTCAATGTTACACCAGAGCAATTCAAATTAACCCAGCTTTTGCTGATGCTCACAGTAATTTAGCTAGCATTCACAAAGATTCTGGAAATATTCCAGATGCAATTCAGTCTTACCGTACTGCCCTGAAGTTAAAACCAGATTTTCCAGATGCATATTGTAATTTAGCCCATTGTCTGCAAATAGTTTGTGACTGGACTGACTATGAAATCCGAATGAAGAAATTGGTTAGTATAGTTGCTGAGCAGCTTGAAAAGAACCGTTTACCATCAGTACATCCACATCATTCTATGTTGTATCCTTTGACACATGATTATCGAAAAGCAATTGCAGCAAGACACGCAAATTTATGTTTAGAAAAAATTCACGTGCTACACAAAAAACCGTATAATTTTCCGAAAGAATTACCTAAAAATGGTAGATTACGGATTGGCTATCTAAGCTCGGACTTTGGTAATCATCCTACTTCGCATTTGATGCAGTCAGTTCCTGGTTTGCATGACCGTTCAAAGGTTGAGATTTTTTGTTACGCTCTTAGTCCAGATGATGGCACAACATTTCGATACAAAATCAGCAGAGAAGCTGAACATTTTGTTGATCTTTCACAAATTCCTTGTAATGGTAAAGCTGCCGATAAGATCCATAATGATGGCATAAATATTCTAGTAAATATGAATGGCTACACAAAGGGCGCAAGAAATGAAATATTTGCTCTCCGTCCTGCTCCAATTCAAGTAATGTGGTTAGGTTATCCAGGAACAAGTGGAGCTAGTTTTATGGATTATATTATAACTGATGCAATAACTAGTCCAATGGAATTAGCTTTTCAATACAGCGAAAAGTTATCTTATATGCCGCACACATATTTTATTGGCGATCATAAGCAGATGTTTCCACATTTAAAGGAGCGTATAATAGTTTGTGACAAACAACAATCTTCCCTTGTAGATAATGTAACGGTACTTAATGCCACAGATTTATCTCCCCTAGTAGAAAATACAGAAGTAAAAGAGATAAAAGAAGTAGTCAACGCACAAAAGCCGCTAGAAATAACTCATAAAGTTGCAGAGCTGCCAAGCACGACGCAAATAGTATCAATGATCGCTTCTGGTCAAGTACAAACTTCACTGAATGGAGTTGTTGTTCAAAACGGATTGGCTACCACTCAAACAAACAACAAGACCGCAACCGGGGAAGAGGTTCCCCAAAATATTGTTATAACAACACGACGTCAATATATGTTACCAGATGATGCTATTGTTTTTTGCAATTTTAATCAATTATATAAAATTGATCCACAGACCCTTGAATCATGGGTCGAAGTTTTAAAAAATGTACCTAAGTCTGTGTTATGGCTTCTGAGGTTTCCAGCAGTTGGTGAACAAAATATAAAAAAAACTGTCAGTGATTTTGGTAATAATAAATAGTAATATATATATTTTTCATTTTACTACAAAATGTACATTTTTAGGTATATCTCCAGACAGAGTTATATTTTCAAATGTAGCTGCAAAAGAGGAACACGTGCGTCGAGGTCAATTAGCCGATATATGTCTTGATACTCCATTATGCAATGGGCATACTACATCTATGGACGTCTTGTGGACAGGAACCCCGGTGGTAACTTTACCGGGAGAGACATTGGCCTCAAGGTTTGTATATAAGCAGTTCCGATGACGATCCAAATAATATTATACCCTTGCAAAGGATATTATGATTTTCGTTATAAGTATAGTTTTGAACAAAAGCCATATACGTGTGTCCATCCGCTTTTACGCACACTAGTATCTGCCTTTCTATCTGAGTTAAACAAATGATTATAATGTCCTTTTTTTAACAATTAGTATATGTATATCAGAGAACTGCAAGGGTGGAATTTTTTGAGACTCGACTCACACTCAACAAAAGTCGGGTGCCGGTGCCACTCACCATCGGCAACTAAAGTAAAAGACAAAGACCCACACAAAATCATCTTGGTGTTTGCAAGCACTCGGTGTTTTGGGCACCTGATCAATACTCTCCGATCTTCGGCGGGTGCCGATCATGATCATACTCGCACCCAATAAGAATGGGTAGAGCAGGCAGACGGTACGAATAACACCCAGGCAAAAAAGGATTGTGGGAAAAACACACACATATATTACTCGGGTGTCTCGACGACACACAGTAGTTTAACTTGTACTGAAGTGCGGAAAATATTAAATAACTTCCCCAAGTCTCAATGCATTGACACAAAACTTGTCACTCGGGGGTTCTTGGGGTCGCTGATCACGAATCTGAAGTCGGATTTCAAAAATTCAAAATGGCGGATCCAATATGGCGGACAAGTTTTTGAGAAAGTGATCGGATTTACTTGAAATTTGATATATGGGCGCGTTTGGGATTGCTGATTACGATTCTGAAATCAAATTTCAAATATATATTTTTTTTATTTCTTTTTTAATTTTTTTGATTTGTTTTTTATACTCCGAGCGAAAATTAAAATTTTGTAAGTTTGTCGGCTTATATCGTCCAAACTACTGACCAAATTGAAAAGTTTTGAGAAAAAAAGAAATAGATAAATTTATTAGCTTTCATTTGATACCAAATTTATGTAAATTGAATACTTGAATATGGAGGTTTTTGCATTTATATGGAAATAAAAATTTAAAAATTTTCCAAAGTTATCAGACATTATATCAAATATAATCTGAAATTGCAAATATACGCAGCTGAAACTTACATATCTTTTCAAAAACAGTATAATAAACCAAAAAGTTGTTAAGCATTTGATGAGTAAATTGCAATATCCTCTGAACCGAACTTGGATATTTTTGGTGAATTATGGCCTTAGTATATAAAAGAGTCTGGACAATATTCAAAAAATGAGTTACAAATGATATGCACAATATAATATGCAATAATCTGAAAGTATTAAATTTCACTACAAAACACTTTAAAGACTTTCAGACCTTATGTATCATTAAAATAATGTAATATTACATATTGGACAGCATAGATTACTTATTTTACGTGACAATCGTGTTTAAAAAACTTTCAAATTCACATTATTATTTTTTGAATTTCTTCCTCAAATTGACCACTGTGCGACACCCTTCCTATCTCCCCAATCAGGTTGCTGAAGTGTGGGAAAAGATCCGATAAAGTCATTCTATATTATTCTATTATTTTGTGTAAAATATATGAAAGTAATATATCATATTGGTGTCATAGGAACGATCAAGAAATTAATACAATTAAAAAGTAAAACTTTATAAGTTTTCAACAGAATTGGATCAAATTTGAGATATATCCATTTTACATTATTCTAAAATTTTACGTAAAATTTAATGAAAATCTGACTACTATATCGTATAGCTGCAATAGAAACGATCGTTAGATATAGAGAAAAATGAAAAACTGTGAATGTAAAACTAAACTGTAAATATAATATGTATAGGTGAATGAAATGAAAGCAGGCCTTACTTTATTGTTTTTTTTAAACAAATAAGTATATTATTTATATTGTCTTAATTTCTACTGATCGAAGTTCTATCTGCGAGGTATACAAACTTTGGCGCTGCCTTTCTTGTTGATTTGATTGTCTGTTTCTACGCAAACTAGTCTCTCAGTTTTAAAGCTATCTGAATGAAACTTTGTAGTTAGCCTTCTATATACTCTCACTCGTATATATGTCGGAACGGGCCGGATCGGACGACTATATCATATAGCTGCCATAGGAATGATCGGAAAATTTTTACAAAAAATTTTTTAACTTTTTCAGTTTTCAATAGAATTGAATCAAATTTGAGATATAGCCATTTTACTATACTCTACAATTTTGCATAAAATTTTATGAAAATCGGACTACTATATCATATAGCTCCCATAGGAACGATCGAGAAATTAATACAATTAAATTTATAACCTTTTCAGTTTTCAACTGATTTTCATCAAATTTGAGGTATAGGCATTTAATTTAAGTCTTAAATTTTGTGGTAAATTTCATGAAAATCGGACGACTATATCATATAGGTGCCATACAAACGATCGTTTGATGTGGAGGAAAAATGCAAATCAGTGAATGTAAAACTGCAAATATAATATGTATAGGTGAATGAAATGAAAGCAGGTATTACTTCATTGTTTTTTAACACAAAGATATATAATTTGTATTGTATGGTTTTTTATTCATAGAAGTTCTATCTGCAAGGGTATATAAACTTCGGCGTGCCGAAGTTATCTTCCTTTCTTGTTGTTCTTGATTTAACTTGAATTAACACTAACCACTTTTTTGATGCTACATTTTCACCAAGCCACATGGAGCGCTTGCAGACTGACAATACTCCGAAAAAATTCGACAGAGGTGGACGTAGTTGGTTATCATTTTGGACATTTTCACACCACAAGGCCTGACACTTTACATAAATACTAAAATTAGCATGAATACCATTGAATAACGTTAGTTATAGTCCAATGAAGTTAGTAAACTCCTCAAAAGCAATTCTTGCAAAAGCAACATACAATTTACACAATTTTTAGATGTACATAGAAAGACAGGTCATGAATATACAATTTTTATTTAGTACATACCTGATTTTAAGGGAAACAAAAGTTATTATTAATAATAAACTAAGATATATTTTGTTATTTGATGCTTTAAGAAGGATCACAAACAGTCTTAAATCTTTGCATGAACACGTGCTAAACATAGCATATGTTTAACTTTTGAAAAGATAAAAATCTACTTTTATTCCGCTAGATTTCTTTTTCAAAAGTTAAAAATCAACTTTTATTCCGCAAGATTTCTTTTTGGATCCACTGTGAATAGGTACATATTCTTTCAAACCTTGATGCCGACACAGGGGACAGAGTTAAAGCGCAAGCACCGCAAAACTGACTGGGATAAATACGGGAAAATTGTTCAGTCTAAGGTAAGAAACAGAAGGACCAAGGTTCGGTCTACTCCAGAAGGAATCGACAAGGACTTCAGTAACATCCTTAACTACGGGTACTAGGAGTCATGCAGACTCTCGTAATTAAAAAAGACACACCCACAATAGTGGAACAAAGAATTAAGCGACTCAGGAAAAAGGTTAGGATGGGCCTCAATACAAACTACGGAGCCAAGGATTGCACAGTGGTTCGGCTTGTATAGCCGAAGGGCCGCGGCAATAAATTCTTTTAGTTGTTATATTGTTACAAAATGTTCTACAAAATTAAAAAAAAAAACAAGAAAGGAAGCTAACTTCGGCACGCCGAAGTTTATATACCCTTGCGGATAGAACTTCGATGACTTCCTGGATTCCTTCCATACAATATAAAATATATATATTAATGTTAAAAAACAATGAAGTAATACCGGCTTTCATTTCATTCACCTATACATATTATATTTTCAGTTTTACATTCACAGATTTGCATTTTTGCTCCACATCTAACGATCGTTTGTATGGCACCTATGTGATACAGTCGTCCGATTTTCATAAAATTTGACACAAAAGTTAAGACTGATATAAAATGGCTATATCTCAAATTTAATGAAAATCTGCTGAAAACTGAAAACGTTATAATTTTTAATTGTATTCATTTTTTGATCATAGGAACTATGACCATAGGAACTATGGCAGCTATGCGATATTGTAGTCCGGTTTTTATACCCTTGCAAGGTATTATGATTTCAGTCAGAAATTTGCAACGCAGTGAAGGAGGCACCTCCGACTATATAAAGTATATATATTCTTGATCAGGATCAACAGCCGAGTCGATCTAGCCATGTCCGTCTGTCCGTCTGTCCGTTTCTACGCAAACTAGTCTCTCAGTTTTGAAGCTATCTGAATGAAACTTTGTATTTAGCCTTCTATATACTACGACGACTATATCATATAGCTGCCATAGGAATGATCGGAAAATTTTTACAAAAAAATTTATAACATTTTTAGTTTTCAACAGAATTTGATCAAATTTGAGTTATAGCCATTTCATATTATTCTACAATTGTGTAAAATTTGATGAAAATCGGACGCCTATATCATATAGCTCCCATTGGAACGATCGAGAAATTAATTCAATTAAAAAGTATAACATTTTCAGTTTTCAACAGATTTTCATCAAATTTGATACATAGCCATTTTATAAGAAATAAAAGAAGTTAATAAAATTAAAGATTATAACTTCTTCAGTTTTCACCAGATTTTCATCAAATATCATTTTATTTTAATCTAAATGTTGTGTAAAGTTATAAAAAAAACCCGACTACTATATCTCGAACGATCAAAAAATGAATACAATTAAAAATTATAACGTTTTAAGTTTTCAGCAGATTTTCATTAAATTTGAAATATAGCCATCTTATATCAGTCTTAAATTTTGTGGTAAATTTCATGAAAATCGGACGACTATATCATATAGGTGCCATACAAACGATCGTTTGATGTGGAGGAAAAATGCAAATCAGTGAATGTAAAACTGCAAATATAATATGTATAGGTGAATGAAATGTAAGCAGGTATTACTTCATTGTTTTTTAACACAAATATATATAATTTATATTGTATGGATTCCTATTCATAGAAGTTCTATCTGCAAGGGTATATAAACTTCAGCATGCCGAAGTTAGCTTTCTTTCTTGTTTTTTATAAGTTTACACAAAATTGTAGATTAAAATAAAATG